CGCGGAAGGCGTCTGCGCAGCAAATGCAGAGAGATTTGCAGCGACCCAGCGTCAGCCGCGTCACAGCGCGACCCGTCGCGGTCGACCGACCACCGAATGTCAACGCAGTTTTGCTGCAGGGCGCATCGAAACACGGCGCAGCGCCACTCACTGCAGCGGCAGATTCGAGCAATAGAGCGACGCTGCGACCTGTGCAGAGCGAATCCGAGTCGACTCTGGTACCAGACGGGCAGTTGCGCAAAAGCTTGATCACACCGCTGCGCGTCGGCCAGGGCGAAGTCGTGGCGCGCAGTGCTGCCACCACGCTCATAGCCGCAAAGCGCTCTGCGATCCCCGTAGCCACTCCAGTTAAGCTGCAAACCGTAGGGCGCTTGAACGGCTCACCCAGTTCGGCGCTTGAAGGGAGACCCGCAATTAGCTCGCCAACCGAATCAGCTGCGCCTGCTGTCGCACAACCCGCTGCGCGATTTAATGAAGTAGCGGGGCCGCTCCGCCATTCACACGAAACTCGCCAGAGCGTGAACGGTTCGGAGCAACGCAGCGACACCGCTGCCGATGTCCCTCACCGTACCGAAGTGGAAGGAAAAGCCACTGGGGGCAGCGACGATGCTACGACAGCTGCGAAGCGCGGCTCTTCGAACGAAGAACGAGATACCTCAAAACTCGTGTTCCAAGTGATGCGCCTTAAGAGCGAAAACTTGCAACTTAAAGAGAAGCTCGAGAAGCAGCTGGCAGAAGTTGAAAACGTTTACAGCGCGGTGCACGACGACAAGCGCAGACTGACCGAGCGCTTCGAAACCATGTTTTCTGAATACCGCGCCAAGAGCACGCAGACGAAGTTGAAGATGGCGAGCAACATCTTGGCGCTGCAGCGTGTCTCGACGGGCTCTCGCTCGACGCCAGCTGACTCGGCAAAACTTCGCCGAGAGTGGGCCGCGCAGCAAGACAAGCTGCGAAAAATGCAGCGCGAAAACGAAGCGCTTAGAACGCAGTCTGCCCGCTACCAAGGCGACCTGCTCGAGCTGGCTGAGCTGCAGTGCCGCAGTTTGAAAAACTTTGGTGCCCGACTCGATGCTTGGAAGGACGTCTCCGAAGATATTCAGCTTGTGCTCGCACCGTTAGAAGCAGAGCTTCGCGGCTCGCGCTCAGAGGCCGTTGAGTGGCGCGCAAAGGCTGAGCAACGCGCCGCACAACTGCGGAAAATGCAGGATTACTGCCAGTTCGCCGAGCTGCAAATCGACTACCTTTCGAAGCAGCAAAACGCACGCACCTGTTAGGCGCGCGCCGCGTCACGGCCTATGCGCTACGTTGCAGCTTGTCCGTCTCAGCTGTCAAAGCGCCGTCGCTGCTCGTGCGCTCAGGCTCGCGCAGTCGGCGGCAGCGCGCAAAGCGCACTTGGTAGAAAAGACTGTTCAGTTACTTGCGCGGCGTTGAGCCGACGCTGAGTAATTTAGTTGCGCGGCTTCTCGATTTTCCCGCGGAAAAGCGCGAGAAGCGAAACGCCGGCAACCTTTACAACCTTAAAACGCACGCCCGGCAGGTCGCCCACAGCGTGGCCCGACCGCCCGAAGCCCGAGACCAGCACCTCGTCGTTCTCGTCGATGTAGTTCAACGAACCATCCTTCGGCACGAACGCAGTGATTTTCTTGCCAGACTTGATCAGCTGCACACGCACACACTTGCGCGTAGCCGAGTTCGGCTGCTTCGCCTCAACGCCGATGCGCTCAACCACGATGCCCTTCGCGTGCGAGGCGCCCTGGAACGGGTCGTGGCGAAAGCGAGAGCCGAGCGCAACCTTCTTGTACTTCTTGTCGGACCATCGCTGACTCTTTCTGCGATTCTTAAGTTTACGGGCGCAAAGAATACCGCGAGCAATGCTAGACATGCTGGTTTATGAAGCAGAAATATTCCGTTGTTGTGTCTTTTTTACAAGGGTAAAATGCAATTTTGTCCACAGCGCCGAGCGCGTAAGTGCCGCGCTCACGTTTCATGTGCCTTCATGCGTTTGCCGCTCTCCTCGCTGGCGAGCAGACGTTTCTTTTTCGTCACCGAGTAGAGTCCGAGTTTTCGCAGCACCTTCAGCAGCACAACGGTCGCGGCACGGTTCTTCTCTAGCGGGTTAGACTCGAGCACCGAGTACACGATCGAGACCTCATTTATCAGCTCCAGCAGCTGCGTGCGAAAACGCGCCTTGAGGTTTCGGTCTGCTTGCACTTCCTCGGGCAACACTTCTTCCAAAAAATCCTGCACATCGGGCATGTTGCAGTACCCTTCCATGTAGAACACGAAAACCGCCGCTGCAATCATGGCGGGCGTCGCGTAGAAGTGCATCTGCGTGATGTGCGAAGACAGATACAGCGCCTGCGCCTGCGTGCTCGCGTACTCCAGCCAGCTCTCGAGCTTCTTCTCCGGCGAGCACTCGGGCTCGCCGAGCTCTGTCACAACGCTGTCGTGCTTCACCCGGAAGCGCAGCGAAGGCTGAAGCAAGGGCGACCAGTGCTTCGGCACGCTGTGGTCGCCGCGCTTCTGTCGAAACCAGAAGTACTGCGTCATGTAGTAGTTGAGCAGTGTGTCGCCGTGCACAACGAAAAAGTCGTAGAAGGTGTAGCGCAGCAACTCTGTCTCGAGCGCCACTACGCTCGGAAACTGCTCGCGCTCCTCCGGCCCGAACAGCGCCTGGATCGGCCGGAACTCCGCGCAACTGTTCTCGATCTTGATCGCGACCAACAAACACGTCATGATCAGCCGCTGCGGCACTACGTCCAAAATCGTGCGCCGCAGAAAGTAGCGCTTGAACAACGTAAACGCTGTGTTCAAAATACGGAAGTCTAGCAGGCGAGCCGACCAAATGTCCAGCGAAGTCAAAATTGTCCAGTGGAAAATTTCATCGACAAACGGCTGCGTGAAGCGCGCCTTGATCGCGTCCACCGTTTCCAACGGCAAGTTGCGGGCCGCGCATCGCGCAAAGAAGCGGTCCCACGCCCGTTGCTGCAACTCGTCGCGAATGCTGCAGTACGTTTTGTAGTCTGCCGCTATCCACCGCTTGTAATGAGTCGTGTTGAACGGATAGCGCTCCGCATAACTCATCTGCGTCCATCAAACGGGTACACAGTTAAGCATTGCTCGAAATTTCGTTTAATTATCGCTGCCTAAATCACTGGCGCATCGGTAGCACGTTCACCAGCGCCGTCTGCGCTACGCGTTCCTCGCGAAACGTTCCGGTGCACTGCGGCTGCGCGTCCGCAGCTTGCGCGAGCGCGGCGTCGCAAACCTGTTGCGCAGCTCGCGATCCGGCTAGCTGCGCCGTAGATTCCTGCTGCGCGCTTTGCGCGCCGCCCAGCGACCTGCTCAGTTCGCTGAGCACGGTTTCCCCGATAGCCTGATAATCGACAAACATAGGGCTTCGGAAGCCTTGCTGCGGCTTGTGGCTCATGATGCGCTCCACCGCGACGGTTCTGCGCAGCGCCGTCTCCTCCGCGAGTTTGTTAAGCTCCTCGTTCGACCGTTTGTAGAACGCGCTCGGCTGCGCGGCCGGCACTGAAGACTGCGCAGATCCAGCAGTAGGCTGATACGGAGCGGAACGCAACACGAACGGAGGCGTGCTTTCGCGGCTACTTAGAACGTTGCGCGCGCTGAGGAGCGGCGCCGCCAGCGGCTGTGTGCGCTGCGCAAAATACTGCTGCGCACCGCTCGGTGCGAACGGCTCGTGGAGCCGCTCAAGCTTCCAGCTGCGCTGGCCGCTTCGCTGCACGCGCGGAGCTTCAACGGAGACCGCTCTAGCATTCGCAGAACACTCGTATGTGCCGCTGCAGTCGGCGCCGCGGTCCGGTTCTACCACGTTCTCGACGTGGCAGCAGTTGCAGGCGATGAGGTTGCGCGCTCCGGCAACGATCTTGCGCGAACAACTCTGCAGCGCACAGGTCGCGCAGTGCGCAGGCAGCTTCGCAGCGGGCGTCACCCGTGCAGCGCAGCTCTGTTTCGGTACGCCGATGTACTCTACGATGCTGATGACTTCGGGCTGCAAGAACGGCGTGGTTTTGCAAAAGCCGTTTCGCCCGTCGTGCCGCGAGCCAGCGTCAGACCCGCGCTCCAACTCGTCAGTACACACCGACTCGTTACGTAGCCCCTTAACACCTTCGCTAAAACTCGTACACGGCACGATCACGATTTGGAAGCTCGCAAAGCCTTTCGGCGCGCCGATCTTCAACGGCAGTAGACTGCACGTGATGGCGGTCAGCTGGCAAACCAAGTGCGTGATCAGTGCCATATGCTCAGGCATCCAGTGCGAAGCAGTTTGCGACGCGTCCACAAAGATGATTAAGTGTTTGACGGCTTCTTCGGAGTTCAAAAAATGCAGAACCTTGCTGTATATCCGCTTGACGAAAAACGCCTCCAACACTCGGTAATCTAGCGGCAGCTTTTCGAACGGGTCGAGAACGTGATGCAAGAGAAAAATGCGCTGCTGCGAAAACGTCGCATCGTCGGGGTTGGCTTTGAGAATCGTGTAGCGCGCGCTGCCGACGAAGCTCGGCTCTGTACAACTCGCGAGCGAGTGCTGCACGGACATGAGCTGCTCGACGGTGAAGATTGCGCTGAAGATTTCCTGCTGCTCCACCTGATTATATCCGAAACGAATTACGTAGAGCGGCGGGTCTGCGCACACCTCTTCAACCAGCATTCGCTCCACATAGTCCTGCAGAAAGGACAGCACTTCCTGCTCTTCGCGCTTCCGCGGCTTCGGCGGAACGAGTGAACTGATGCGCAAATCGGATTTCCACGGCAGGCGCAGCAAGGCACACGGAATCGGGAAATCGGACGGCTGAAATCTCACAGCCCCGTATAACATTATTGGTGCACGAGCACACCACAGCAAAAAGTAAAATATCGCGCCGAGCGAACTCTCCGCCGGCAACCGCTTGCCGCAACCCTGCATTGCGCAGGACTGCAAATTGCGGCTTAAATCAGTATTTATTCTATTTGATTTAAACCGAGACAAACGCATGTCGCTCGCCGATGAAGTTGCTCTTCTGGAGTACAAAGAGGAGTACCAAGCTGAAGAGGAGCCCGTTGTCGAACAAAACCTCAGTAACGAGACTACCGACTTCCGCGACTTTTTTCTGCGCCCCGAACTGATCCGCGCACTTGCGGACGCTGGGTTTGAACGGCCCAGCGAAGTCCAACACGAGGCTGTGCCGCACGCGATCACGGGCGTAGACGTGCTATGTCAAGCCAAGAGCGGAAAGGGCAAGACCGCAGTCTTCGTAATTTCGATTTTGCACCAAATCAACCTCGAAACCGTCGGAGACAACACCGTTTGCTTGGTGCTCTCGAACACGCGAGAACTCGCGTACCAAATCAAAAACGAATTCGAGCGCTTCGGCAAGTACATCACGGGGCTGCGCTGCAACGTGTTCTACGGCGGGCAGCCCATCGGCCCGGACAAGGCGCTACTAAAAGACCCCGCGAAAGTGCCGCACATAGTCATCGGCACCACGGGTCGGCTGCTCGGACTCATCAGGTGCAAAGCGCTCAAAGTCGACAAAGTCGCGCACTTCATCATCGACGAGTGCGATAAGTGTCTGCAGACGCTCGAGATCCGCCGCGACGTCCAGGAGATATTTTTAGCGTGCCCGGTGCAGAAGCAGGTGATCATGCTCAGCGCAACGCTCTCGCCGGAAATGCGCCACCTGTGCAAGAAGTACATGCAATCGCCGGTCGAGGTGATCGTCGACGACAACAAGAATCTCACGTTGCACGGACTACTGCAGTACAGCGTCAAACTTGAAGAAGACATGAAAACCAAGAAGCTTGTAGAGCTGCTCAACACGCTCGACTACAACCAAGTCGTGATCTTCGTGAAGAGCATCGCGAGAGTTAAAATGCTGGCGCATGTGCTGACCGAGCTGAAGTTTCCTGCGATTGAAATTCACCGCGGCAAGAACCAAAAGGACCGCATCGACGCCTACAAGCGCTTCAAGGCGTTCGAGGCCCGCATCATGGTCGCTACCGACCTCTTCGGCCGCGGCATCGACATCGAGCGCGTGAACATCGTCGTCAACTACGACATGCCCGACAACGCGGACAGCTACCTGCACCGCGTCGGCCGCGCCGGCCGCTTCGGGACCAAAGGGCTTGCGATCTGCTTCCTCAGTTCGCCAGAGGACGAGGACGTGCTGCAACAAGTGCAGGAACGCTTCAAGTCGTCCGTCTCATCGCTGCCGGAACAGATTGACACCTCGTTATACAGTAAGTTTGAGCGCCACCTACGCAGTCAACCAGTAACAAAACGCGCTGTCTGCGGTTTTCTGCAGCAATTTGCGCCTTTTTTCCGCTTTGATGTTTTCCTTGCGCCAGCGATTCTGCGCAGCTATATATATTGCTACGAAAAACAACATGTGAGATGACGCACTTCATCGACCGCGCGACTTTCTTCACCATCGTGCACTGCTTCTTGCTTCTTCCCTCGATGTGGATGATGCTCGCTGGTAGGCACAAGTCGATCGAGCCGAAATGGCTGCAAACGGTCAATTTGTTCACGCTCGCCACTTTGAAATATTACGTGCTCGAGCTGACGAACTTCAACATATACGTGATCTTGTTGTTTTTCTGCTCAAGCGCTATGCTACTTTTGGTCAAGCAGTACGTTTGCTACGTGACGCAGTCCTGCCTCATCGCGATCTTTTTGAACGTTCTGAGCGGCAAGCACGTGCCGTGGCAAGCGGTGCCAGTCGAGGTTGCAATTTGCGCCGCCGCGTGCTGGTGGAGCAGCAAAGCGTTTTACGTGGTAAAGCTCGCGGTTAATGCAGTGATCACGTGCGCCTGCACGGAAACGTACTTGAAGATTCTGCTGCCCGCGCGGGACAGCAGCTCATTGCCGCTCTATTACTTTTACTACGACTACCAACTCGTGGGCAGCCGCCTGATCTACCTGAGCACCGTGCTAGTTCTGATGAGCCTCGGCGCCGTGGTTGACTTCATGCGCGTCATTCTCGAAACAAAAAATGCCCGCAACACGCGACAAATTGAGATGAATTCCGTGCTAGCACACGCCCTGGTCTGAGTGCCGCGCAGTGCCGTAGCCGCCACACCATGTAAAGCAATCGCAACAATATTATCGCCACATCGCGCAGCTGCAGTTTTGCGCTGCAGTTTTGCGCTACAGTTTTGCACTGCAGTTTTGCGCTACAGTTTTCCGCATCAGCAGTTTCACGCCCGCGCTTTCACAACAAAGCAGTTACAGCATCTCCGACTTCAAGATGAGACGCATGTGCGGGTCGTTAAACGAAGCTTTCAGCGCCGCGATCTGCGGCGCTGGCTCCTCGCCGAGTTGCTCAACGAGTCGCAGGTACGCGAAAAACTCGGCGACCGGTAAGGGCGGCGGCGCGCCTTCGCCCTCCGGCGAGCGCGCAGTGCCGCTGAGTGCTTGCAGCAGCAAGTATTTCCACTGTTGCGCCAACTCACGCAGCGCAACGCAGGAAAAGTCGAGCTGCGCAAATTCAATGTCTGCGCCGCAGCTGAACACACTCGGTCGCATTGCGGCTTCCATAATGTACTGCTTGTGCGCGGAATTGGTCAGCGTAGCGAAGTTCTGCAGCCAGTAGCGCACGTTCCAGAAGTGCAGCTGGTTGATCACGAACACCGTCATCAACACGCCTTCGTTTGCGCACTCGGACAAATCGCTCAAGTTCTCGTCGCTCTCAGCGTCGCCTTCGAAGCGGGAGAACTTCTCGGCCGCTGCGCTCACGCGCTGGTACTCGATCGACTGCAGCGCAGACTTTAGCAGCACGCCCTCGGCCTTGTTCGGGCTGTGCATTTCGACGTGCGTGCTAAAGATAAATTCGATCAGCCGCGAGATCTGCAGCAGCATTTTCGTGGGCTTCGCACTCACGGCCGCCGCAGACGCTTCGGCGTGCGGCTCGCCTTCCTCAGACAACTGCGTAGCTTCGTGCGCCTCCTGCTCTACGTCCTCGACTGTCACGGCGCAAAACGACAGCGCGCGCAGGTAGGCAAAGAGCGGCGTGAGGCAAATGTCTTTGTTCAGCCGCGCGTAGAGCGGCGCCGCGAGCGACAGAATCAGCACGCCCAAAATGCTGTCCAGCTTGAAGCCGGCGTGCAACAGTTTGAGCAGTCGCAGCACCATCTGAGGCGACTGCAGAATCAGCAGCAAATCGAGCGTGTTAAGCACAGGCGTGAGCTTCGACTGCTTCATTTCGAACTGCAGCGAAAACTGCGGCAGCGACTTCACCAAAAAGTCGTAAAACTCGCTGTCCGTCTTCGACTTGAGCGCCGCGAGCAGCAACTTGTTCTGCTTCGACTCGCCGCGGAAAAACGCGTCGGACGCAACGCGCAGCCGCGCGACTGCGCGGTGCGGCGTGAAGCTGAACAAAAAGTGTTTCATCGCGTCGGAGCCTAGAAACTGCGACAAGCAGCCGCGGCTGTGCGAGAAGTCGATCACCTTCTGGCTGCGCAACCGCAAGCCGCTCCCACAGAGCATCGCGAACAGCTGCCACACGTTCGCGTGCACATCGCGCAACACAAAATCGACGTCCTTTGTGCGAACTGCGCTCGAGAAATTACCGTGCGAGAACGTCAGAGTGTCGGGAAGCCGCACAATGGACTCGTACAGCGTGGTTAGGCTGCGCACGGTTGTGCGCACCTCGAAAAACGTGAGGTTGTACGCCTGGTTGAACAGCTTGTTCAAGTACAGCAGACACAGTTTAAAGAAGCAGTGCGCCGCCGAATTCGCTTGCATGCCTTTAAACTCCGCGCTGTCGACGGCTCCGCGCCGCCAGACCAGCAGGCGGATCAAGTCAAGCAAAATGCGGTCGACGCGGCACTTGTAAAACTCTCCGAAGAGAGCGGCGCTTGCGCAGCTGTACACAAACTGCTCTCGGTGGTACGTGTTGTCGCAGAGCACACCCGCAAGCTGGAGCGAAACTGCGGTTTCCATGTCGCTCATACGACTGCTGCTCAGCCGTCGCAGCCGCAACAGACTCTTCAACGCGTTCAAGATGGCGCGGTAGTCGTTTGCGAAGTCCTTGTAGTGTCGCACAATTTTGCGCAGCGCATCCAGCAGAAAGCCCGCGTCCGGCTCGACGACCTTGCCCTGCTCCTCCGTCTGCTGCAGGAAGAAACGCCAGTAGCCGAACGAGTACACCAGCGCGATGCACGGCACGTCACGCAGCACGCTGACCGCCTTGTCACCGCCTTGCTTCGGAAACGTCTGCAAAACGCTCTTCGCGTCGTCGCGCCGAGCCGCGGACGGCGCGCGGTTGAACAGCGACACGGCTTCGAAGAAAAACGTGAGCAACTCTCCAGCCACCGCGTGGAACACGGGCAGGTCGATCGCGCCGAGCAGGTCCAGCACGATCGGGTACAGCGTGTCGAGCACCTCGACGGAGAAGTCCGCGTGGTCGCAAAGCTGCAGCAGCGTCTGCTGCTTGCGCCGCAGCTGCGCAACGCACGTGCGCACCTTATTTGCGACGTTGTAGCAAAGCGACTCGCGCACCTGGTCCTTGGTCAGGCCCGTGATCGCCATCAAGCATTCCTGGATCGCGCGGTTCTTGTCGCTCTCGTAGGAGCCGTCGCTGCGAAAACGCGCCAAGTAGAGCAGCACGTTGCCGTCGTAAATGCCGCGCTGCAGAAAACTCAACAGCGCCGCGCGGCCATGCCAGCCGCACTTGTACGCACTCATCTGCGCAGCCTCGGTTCGCACCAGCGCGCGCGATCAAGCTGGCGCGCAGTGCAGGCGCCGCGGCGGAGCGGTGCGAGGAACTAGCTACTCGTTTGCGAAAGCGCAGTCAACTGCCGTTGAGACCACACCTCGCGCCGAACTGGAGCCAGATTTTATATTATAAAATTGCATTGCACTAACTGACAAAGCCGAGCCAGCATGAACACCGACAATGTTTGGAAAGTTCTGATTGTCGGAAACAGCGGAGTAGGCAAAAGCAGCGTGTTGATGCGCTTCGTCAGCAACGACTTCAAAGAAGACGTACTGGCCACAATCGGCGTCGACTTCAAAATGAAAGTGCTGAAAATCGGCGACGAGACTCACAAACTCGCGCTGTGGGACACTGCGGGCCAAGAACGGTTCCGCGGGCTGGCGTCGAGTTACTACAAAGGCGCGCACGCGTGCATCGTGATGTACGACGTCGCAGACCGCGCAAGCTTTGACGCGACGCTGTACTGGATCAAAGAAGTCAAGGACAACTGCATGACGGACCCGCTGTTCTGCATCGTCGGCAACAAGATCGACCGGCGCACGCCCGAGAACCAGGCGCTCTGCATCAGCGCAGAGGAGGGCCGCAATTTGGCAATGAAACACCGCTGCCTGTTCCTCGAGACCAGCGCGCTGAGCAATGAAGGCATTCAGACGCTCTTCAACCAACTGCCCGGAAAACTTTCTGAAATCTTCAGCAAGGAGCGGCTAAGACCGCGTCCCGGCGTCAAGCTCAGCGATCAGCAGCAAAAGCCGCACAGTTTGTGCCCGTGCTGAGCCACCGAGCTAGTGCGTTACACATGCGCCTGGGTTGCCGCCGCGGATTGCGGCGCGATTGCGGCGCGATTGCGCAGCGCGAGCGTAGCAACGCTACCGTCAGCAAGTGTCAACAAAATCTCGCCAGCCTCGTCCGCGCGCAACGCGCGCACTTCGCCGCGCGGCAGAGCCAGCGAGCAGTCGAACTTCATCTCCGCATCTGCAGTCAGCGCCTTATTTCGCGACTGTTTCGCAGACTCTTCGTGTGCGTCTACACGAGCAGCGAGCTGCGTCTTGAACACGTACAGCTGCCGCGCGCGGTCAGACACCACGGTAAGCAGCGCAGCCTCCGCGGGTTCGAAGACCGTCAGCCCGAGCACGGCGCCGCCTGCACGCGCCACACCGCCGACGAAGCGGCTGATGCGCGCAAATTCAAAAGCCGATTCGCCGTATTGCGCCTCCTCGGCGTTTGCCTGCGGCACCGCTTTCCACAGTTCCACCCCGAGGTGCGCGAGCACCGCTGTGAAGAAGCGGCCCGAACGCGACAGACTGGCGACCGGCCCCCCGCAGTGCGCGAGCGTGCCGCAGCTGTGGCTCAGCGCGCCCGTCAGGTCGTCAAGCTGAAACTGCTCAATGTAAACACGCGAACCCGCGCTGTACGCGACCGCGAACGTTTCTTCCAGCGCCTCTAGATGCGCAATGCAGCCCTCGCGCTCTAGCCTCAGCAAGTGCCGCAAGCGCGCGTCACTGCAAAGCACGCTGCGCGTGCCGCTTCGCGCGCTCGCGGCGCCGCCGAAACAACTGCGCGGCTGGACTGCTTCCACCGCGAAGACATGCAGCCGGCCGACCGGCGGAAACGCGCCGCTGCTCACGAATGCAGTGCCGACGAACAGGAAAGTTTGCTCGCGAGCCGTCGTGAACGCCATTGCTGTCACCTTTTCGAAAGGGTGCATCGCGAAGCAGTCGGCAACGCAGTTCGCACTCCACAACGTAAGGCATTCGACCTCGAGACTCCGGTGCGAGCCGCCGTCAGTCGCTGGCGCGCGCCGCGCGGACTCTGCACTCTGTGGGCCGTCTGCACGCAGCAGCAGCTCGTCGATCGCTGCGCAGAGCCGCTCGCGAGAATTCGGTCCACACGGAGCAGCGGCTTCGGCGTCGCTGGCGAGCAACTCGGAAGAATAGCAAGTCGACATCGGGAAATCTTCGCTCAAGAAGCACTGTTGCAAGTCGACGTCACAGGGCACCGAACTGACGGTGACAACGTACTCATTGGACGACGCGAGGGTCACCAAACTGTTCGGCGTCACGATCGAGGCTAGTGAGCACCGCGCGCGAACACCGGCTCGGCGAAAGCTTTGCCGGGCGAACAACTCCAGCGAGCGCAGTTCATCGAACGCTGCGGCGTCGAGCTTGAGCAGCGGTCTGCCGATCCCGCGCGGACCGGCGCGCTCCGAGCCGATGTCTGCGGCGTGCAAACAGGAGCCGCGTCGCGCAACGCATCCGCCGTGAAACCAAGAGAGGTTCGCCGCGCTGCGCACGGCGAACAAGTGCCACTCGCCTGCGTCTAGAGCACACAGCACGCAGCACAGCGCGTCGCGCGGCTTGGCGCCGCCCAGCTCTACCGCAAAAGCTGCGCATCCCACGATTTCGTTGCTGAGCACCGTGCAGCGCAGCAGCCGCGTGCACGCTTTCAACCGCGAAGTGGAGAAGCACACGCGCACGCGGATAGCCGTGAAAGCTGCTCCGTACGCGATGACGTGAAAGTCTTTCGACTGCGCAGCGTCGAAAAACAGCAGCTGCCGAGCCGACATTGCGATCCAGCAGCCGGCCAGTCGCGCGGAGGAAAAGCTCCGCGTCTGTGCGACGAGCGCCGCCGCCGGCGCGTCAGCGCATACGCGTAGCTCCGCGCACGCTTCGGCCGCTTCGCACTCGCTGCGTTGATCCGGTCGCGTCAAGAAAGCGTCCACGAATTCGCCAAAATTGGTCTCGTCAGCCGAAGCTTTGTCAAACCGCGCCACCAGCCGGTCTTCTTCAAACAACTCAACAGCTTCGCGACCCAACACCCAACAAGCGTTGTCTGCGTATACTCTTTCTGCTAAGCCGCGCGACGCGACCTCGACAGCGCGAGTCTCTTGCTCCTCCACGATAAGCTGGAAGTGAGCACACACTGCGGCTATTTTTACCACGACGGCCAACGCGAGCGAGTTGCGGGTCTCACTTCGGCGGCCCGCTGGGAAAACAGCGACCAGCTCTACTTGCTGAGCGACCCCTCCCAGGCGCAGTTCGTCAAGCGATAGAGAAACCACGCACGCTAGTTCGCTACTGTCCGCTGTAGGCCGCAGGATGCACACGTTCAACCGGGCGCTGTGCATGAAAACGACCCAGTCTCCGTGGCGCACGACGCTCGTAAACTCGAGCGACTCCGCACAACGAACTGTCGCGTCCGCGGCGAGCGACTGCGACACCGAACCTCGCCACACGCAGCAGCGCGCTGGACAAAAACAGTTCGCTCGCTGCGCAGCGAGCAGAAGCAAGTCGCAGCCGGCCGCGCTCGCCGCCGGCAGCGCAAACGGTTCTAGCGGCTGCGTCATGTGCAGGAAGTCGTCCCACCGATCTGACAGAACGAACTCTGAGCATAACGCGGAGGCTCTGAACCGGTCTGGCGCAAAAGCCACGAAGCACAAATCGAGTGCAGGCCCAATCAAACGAGTCGTCTTGCCGCGGCCCGCGAGAAATCGCGATGACACCCGAACAGTGTATGTGTCAACGACCGCGTCAACGCCCGCGTCATCGCTCTCGCCAGCGGCCGCTGGCTGCGCTGAACCGCGATGTGCCGCGAGCGTCTCTTTCGCGTCCGCAAAACAGCAACGCGATTCGGTAGTAGCAGCCCAGGCAATCGCAGCCGGCGCCGACGGCAGTTGCTCGTCTGACGCGCTCAGTACGCGCGCCTCCGCTGCACAGACAAAACTGAACAAATTTGTTCTCGGCGCACTACCTGAAAAACTGCAGTGGAGAAAGCTCGGGGCGGCGCCGTCGAGCCTCAGCAAAAACTCATTCGGCGACGAGGCTACGACGCCGCAGAACTGCACATCGAAAGCTAACGCAATAAGCTTGTGCGTGAGCGCGCCTCCGCAATTTGTGCGCAGCGCCGAGTGCAAGTCGCAACAGAGCGTCTCGCTCAGGTCGAACAGCAGTTCTCGCGCGAAAGCGGGGTTTTGGATGCAAGCTGAGTCGATCTTGAGAAACGCGAAAACGAGCCTGCCTCTCGGCATGTCGAGAAGGAAATAGTTGTCGCCGAGCAGCAAGCGCGCGGGCGCGCAGAACGCCGAAACCGCCGACAGACTGCGCAGAAAGTAGGGCAGTGGGCTTACCCGGCCGACGAGTCGCAACGCGGCAGGCACGCCCCCTAACTCGAACACGGCTACAGAAGCGTGCGACGCGCGCATGCAACCCGCCCACGCAACGGCCGGTCGGTACAAAACCTCCCAGCGCTCATTCTCGCCCGACCAGTCCGCCAGCGCGATGTCGGCAGCCGCGCGGCTTAGCCCGAGCGCTGCGTAAAAGTCGATGCCAAACGAGTGCGCGAGCGACACGCGAACCTCTGCGTCAGTGGCGACAAACTGCAGAGCGCTCGCGCGCAGCGCGAATACGACGCCACGCTCGTCGCCACTCTGTGCCGCCGCGCCGTCGGTCGCCTTTGCGCTTTCGCTGCTGAGAGTGGGGCTCGCGGCGGACTGCGCGGCGGACTGCGCGGCGGGCAGTACGCGCAAGTTCAGGAGCAGCGCAGGACAGATTTCCAACTGCACCGCGACGCCAGTCGCGTCTACCGCGATTTTCACGCGCTCGTTAGCGCGCCGCGGCGGCGCAGCGCGCGCCTTCTGTCGCTCGAG